TGTGATCACTGGGAAATAGACTGCACCAGACTGCTCCACAAATGGTCCAAAGTGGTCTTTATATTTCCATGTGATCACATCCTTACTGGGCTTAGAGAGGGGGATTCAGAAATAAGCAGGCTTCATCTAGTTAATTTGTTTCCACACTTGTGCGTACAATCAGTGAGTGACTCTGGCTAATACGTGGTCTGGGTAACTAATTATATGATCTCAGCACATAATCTTGGGAGCCCTTTGTACACTATATAGTAGTGATTACAAGAGATGACTAAGCCGAGTCTTCATGTTCAAATCCAAGGTACAGTACACAAGTGTGCAAAGGACTGCTGCTTTGATACCCCCACTTGTGCAAGTTTTCCAGGGACACTTGCCTGGCATTCTTATCTTTCACACACAGCATGCACAAAATGCTGTCCCCTTTGCTTTCACCAACAGTATGCACACTACTTGATAGAATTACTTCTGGAAACTTACCCTTTCACTGCGACACTCTTTACAAGAGAGATGCCCCATTGGAATTTCTACAAGTCACCGCTCTTTTCTCGTCTCCGAACATTCCAGGAAACACAACTGCCAACAACCGGACTCAGTAGTTCAATGTCATCTTTCGAAACCAAAAGTGTCTGATTTTTCTGTGATAGTCTTCTTCCCAATGTCAGTGCTGCTCTCGCTCTCGCTCTGTCTCTTCTGTAGTAGAAGGACAAACTGAAAATTACCCATAATGACTCCAGTGAGGGAATATTTGCTATCTCTATCCAGCAAAGTGACAAATAAAACTCATTGCAGTGCACGAGCAGGAAGTGTACCACCACCTTGAGTAAACACAATTTGCGTGACTGTCAATTCAAAGCTGACGCTCAGGAAAAACAAAAGAACATGAAGAATAGTGTGTACTTGTTTCCTGGTTTCCGCAGGTATTTTAACTCAGTTTTTTAATCTGCTGTCCAAGGGTAGATTGCAACTTAATGATGGTTAATGTTTCACTGCCAATAATATTTTGTGGGTTTCCTCATATCAGGAAATGAATAAATATTTATCAGACCGTATGCTTACAGGATGGGCACACCACAACATGTCAGGGAAGAACCTGCTTCCCTGTCCTCCCTACATTTCTCTGGGTTAAAAACTGTTTGCTTATGAGCTCATTTGTGGCAAATCATGTGTCTTCTTCATCCAACAGGATTTCCTGCCTATGATTGGCCACATACTGGTCATAAAATGGCACGTGTAATCAGTCCAATTACTGATAACTTAATAGAACGCTGGGTGAAGAGGAAACTCATGCGATTGCTTCTGGACGTGATTTTCCAAAATAGGACTTTGGACTTCATTTTTAAATGTAGCTTTTTCCAGAGGGGAAGCCACACTAAAGAGTAACAAACATGCTACAATATGAATTTTTGTAGACTACAGTCCATGTTATCAAACCCATGAAGTGATAGATTGCATTATGTGTATGTATCTGTGTACATACATACTAATGCAACTGCAGACAGACAAGATCATGCTTTGTAGTCCATGAAGACATGTATAATAACTGATTATCAAATAAATTCCAACTTATGGCAACCCTTGCCGTGGATTTCTAGGCATTCAGTACTCAGAAATGATTTACTACTCTCTTCTTCTGGGGCTGTGCAGCTTGCCCAAGGCTATGCAGGATGGTCCTTGCGTTAGGAAGTACAGTGGGGAATTGAACTTGTGACTCCCAGTTCTGAAATTAGGACTTCCAACAAAAGGCTTGAATACACAGAGGTCCTTCTGAAGGACAAAAAAGCTATGTGGTGCTGGGTGACTTAGTGGTGAAGGCTAGTATCCTGTTGCTTAAATGTACAACAGAAGGGAAATTATATAAGTTTCTTAGCCATCCCCTGTCCTAGTCTGGTAGGCACTTCATCATGTGTCTATTCCCACATTGGTTGCACAATCGATCATGCAGCTATGTATGTGACAGGGATAGGAGACAGTGAAGAAGGCTTCTGTTATTTCCCTTCCATTTTGTGTACCCCAACTCACCAAAAGATCACATTTGTTTCATTTATATTTTACAAGGTTGCATGTCATTATCGTAATGCTGTTTCTCTGCTGTCATTACTATTTATTCCTACCCCTGTCTTTTATGTCGTTTTTATGGTTCCTGGTTTTTTTTTCTTTTAAAATTAAACATTACTCTTTTATATTTTATATTTGCATGCATGACAGAATTCACTGGCTCTAAAAGGTAGTTGATCAGTCAGTCTGATTGGCAGTCAGTTGCTGGATTCAATTAGAGATGCAACACCACTGGTTTAAGAGCCTGAAGTTGTATGCTTGGTAGAACGAGAGGCTGTAACTCAGGGACTAAGAGAGTACAAGCTTTGCTTGCCAGGTTCTCAGGTTCAATCCCTAGCCTTGCCGAGCAGAGGTAGGAATGAATCTTGCTTGAAACCCCAGAGATGTAAAGCCATCCAGTGTTGATAGCATTGGACTTGACGGACTTAGGACAGACCCAAGAAGGTCTGAGGTCCTTTCCATGTGGGTTAGAGGAGCCGTTAATAACTACTACTGTAATCAGTATGCTATCTCTTTTGTAACTGAATCGCTGGCTGGGGAACATAGGAGGGATGGTGCTCCAGTTACCCCCACATCCTACTGGTAGACTTCATTCACGCAACAGTCTTTTCCTTGTGAACACAAAATAAACACAGTTCATCTTCACAGCATATGTGATGTGTTCATCACTGGCTCTTCATGGAAATTGCAGGTAGATGGCTTTTTAGTCTAATCCATAGTACTGTAGTAGATTTAGAAGAAGCAGCCATGTAAGTCTGTGCTAGTGTATCAGGCAAAAAAATAAATAAAAAAAATAAAGAAGATAATAATGTGGCATTTGAAAGACAAACTTATATTTTAATGTGAGTTTTCATGGACAAATCCACTTCCTCAGATGTAAGAGTGGGACTACGTGGCAAATATTTATACATTTTTACATAGCCTCAAATCAGAGACTGTATTTGGGCACATGTTGTTGACCTGGCAATGACTTTTTAAAAAGGTCATATATCTCTAAAATATAGCAGTTAGTTTTTAAACTGCCACAACATGATGATGATGGTGTTGGTGGTGGTGGTGATGATGGTGGTCTGGCCTAATCCAGTAGGTCTCTTTTGATGCTTTTACAACTCAGTATGAGGCAGCTTCCTGTGTGAATTAAGAGCAAGAGTCTGAACAGGTGCATCTTCCCCATTCAGTGCAGCGCCATCTATTGGGAAGATGCTTCCTTCCAATTTTCCCCTTGTGTTAAAAGCACTAGAGCTCTGTTTTATAATAAATCTGCCCAGATTCATTATATGCACAATTACTTATGGTGATCTGAATTCTCCCTCAAAATGGTGATGTGTGTTAAGTCTTTGCTTGGTTCTTGTAGAAGAGCTTATATCTGAAAGCAGGTTTTGGCCCCCAGGGTTAAACCGGGTGGATTTAAGAGCTGTTTCAGGTGAGTGCAACATAAATAAAAGCTGATTGCACCAGAAGCAGGAAGCGTGGCCCTCTTTCATTCCAAGCAAGCAGCTCTAAGGTGATAAACACCAGCACCGGCAGCTCATCTTGACAGCACGCACACTCTGTTAATCACTGGCTCTCTGGGGAAATGGCAGGTATATTCCCCTCCAGGTGCTGTGATTCATTGTCTGGAACTGATATCTCTGCTTAAATGGTGGATTAACATGATTTAAGAAATATTCATTGCAAAGTTGATTAGAAAGCCCCATCAGCAGCCTGGCAGGGGATTCATTTAGTGCAGCATGACACCATTTTGTGATCGTCAGCTTCTCGATAGACGACGGTTCATACACTGATGTGTCCATTTACATAGCCGTTTAGAAATACTGGATTGCATCCAGATAGTGCCCCTCTGCTGAAATGAAAGTTATCATCTTATGGAAGATTTTACCAATAAAATAGGGAGGGAGGTAATTTCATTACTCTCTCAGTCTCAGCTTGGAAATGTTACTTTGTTGGACTACAGCTCCCAGGTTCCTCCTGGACTGATAGTCTGACAAAGTAACTTTACTAAACTCTGCTCCAGGAAGGTGGTGGGGAGGATCCTTCAGAACAATGTGGGTATGTGTTTTGAGGCAACCCCTGCGAAGGGGCTGCCTCAAAACATTGTTTCTTTCCATTTTGCCAACTGGAAACTCCCTTGGGGTAAAATAGCCTCTATAGAACAATGTTGATAGAATACAATCCACATGGGCTGTGACAAGAGTTTGCCTCTTTTGTACTATGACGGAAATATGCTTTGGGAGGAACAAAATATCTTCTGACCCCTGTAATATGGTCACACCCTACAAGAAATTTTCTGTGGTTTATCCTATATAGAGCAATTCATTTACAGTACCCATCTTGCACGATGCAGATATGTTGATTATCTCCTCCAATTATTTGAATTAGTTGTGTTTCAAAAGTAACTAGGTCCTTGACCATGTGACTGCAGAATGCTGTTGAAAACATCTGTAGAAGGCTCTGAGGTGTTGGTATTCCTTAGTGCAGTGGTCAGGGAACAGGGGTAAATTACCCCAAATGGGGTAAAAATAAAAATCCTGGGGGTAATGAGGACATGACCCTAATCCCCTTCTCTCCTCCTCCTCCTCCTCCTCTTCTGCCCGGAGGGGGGTCTCCAGCTGCCTGATAGCTCCCTTCCCGCCCTCCCCTTCCCCGGTCCAGCTGCAACTGAGCCACAGTGGCTGACGATGGGCCCCGGTCGGTGACATATGGCAACTGTGCAGCGCTGGTGGGGCTGGCTATGGAGGAGAGCGAGGCTGGGGAGAGTGGTCAGAGCATCCCGGCCAGAAGAAACCTCTCATTCCAGTGCCTGGAGAGGTGGATTGTGGCGGAGGGGGGCGGTTGAGCCTCGACAGTGGCCTGGGCCAGGCTGAGCCTCCCAGCGCTGGAACGCCATTGCTGCCCCATGCCCCGTCGGGTGGCAGCAGAGGAGCCCGTTGGGTGGCAGCGGCGCTCACCCGGATGTGCAGCTTCCTTCGGTGGCGCCTCCATGGCGACCAGCTGGGCCTGGTGGAGCCTCTCGCCCTCTGTGCAGCAGCTGTTGCAGCACTTCGACGCCAAGGCCCAATGTGGCCGCCCCGGCGAACAGCTGCTGGAGCCGGTGCCGGAGCGGGGGACAGCATTGGACACCCCAGGCAGGCAAGCCACCTGCCGCCCAGGAGCCTCCCACCAGCGGAGAAAAGGAGCCGCCCCCACAGGGCCAAGGACTGAGCGCAGCCCTGCCAGGCGGAGATGGAGGAGGAGGTGGCGGCCCAGGTGTGGGTGGTGAGGCTGCTCGACTGGCTGCGCATGACCGAGATCCTTCCTTTCAAATCAAGGGGGGTAATGTCGGAGTATATAATTTTTTTAGGGGGTAAAAGGTAAAAAAGTTCCCTGACCCCTGCCTTAGTGCAAAGTGGGCATCTTGTGGTTCTCCAGATATGTTAAACTAGGTGAGAACATAATCTCAGCTCATTGGCTATCCTGGAAGGAGATAATGGGACCTGTAGTCCAGTGATATCGGAAGGGCCTTAGCTGACCATCCTTGTACTAGAAGTTGGGCACCTGGACTTTCGAAACATCCCCTAATTCAAACATCCTATTAATGTTACATCTGCTAAACAACTCATATCTTTCCCATTTCCCCAGTGCACAAATTTTAAAGTGGGAATTAACACAATAGTATCCAATAGTATCCAATAGTACCGTGAGTCCAAAATAACATTTTGAAATGACATAGTCCTGTATAATAAGTTTTCTATTTTCATTTAGATAGACATGTAGGCAGGGAGGGCGCAGAAATGTTGAGGACTAACAAGGTATAGGATGGTGCAGTGGAAAGAGTGACAGACTAGGACTCAGGAGACCTGAGTTCAAATCTGTACTTGGCCATGGATGCTCACTGGGGGTGTGAAACTGCTAAACCACTCCTTAAATATCTCACTTACCTTCGAGAATACATGTCTCACTCACCTTGAAAAACCCTATTAGGATCACTACAAGTTGGTCCTTATTTGGCATGCAACAACAACATATGAGTGGGATGTAGAGGAATGCCTCCTGGAAAAACCCAGATCATAAAATGTTTTGTGGAAAGTGTGTGTGACCCTAAAGGACTAATCTTAGGAAGGGGCTGTGATTCTAACTTCCAAATGACAGAGGGACGGTTGGAGAGGGCAGGAGCTGTTTCACCATCTCAGTTGAGATAATAGAATTTCAGCCTGTTTGTGCAGGAGAAGCACAGGAACACTGTGTATCCATGTAGTATGTTACATGTTAGTGTCTGATTTTGTATTTTTTCCCCAGGGCCTTGAATATTAGTGTTGTTTCAATCTATAAACTACTTCTAAAAACAATCTAAAAACTATTAGTGTTGTTTCAATCTATAAACTACTTCATAGTGTTAGCATACTTTCTGGGTGATTTACTACATAATAATGCAAACAGCAACTTGCCCCCAAGCTGGGTACTTATTTTACTGATTTTGGAAGGATAGAAGGCCTTTGCCAACCTTGGGCTGGCTACCTGAACCCATCATGATCAAATTCAGGTCATGACTAGTGCCTTGGCTGCAGTAGGGCAGTTTAACCACTGTGCCAGGGGTCTCTTTTAAAGGTTGCACATTTGGAGCTTTTTAAAAAAAAATGCTCTGGGTCTTTTGCCTTCGGCAATAATGATATCTGGGTCTTTGTTCCTGACATCTTTTGCTTTAAAGACATGTGTGCGTCACTTCATTTCTTCAGCAGGGAGTTCTGCTCAGGCACAGGGTTGGCAAATGGAACCCTGGGACGTACAATTTGTAGCATCCAGTTCGGGGTTGTATTTCTGTTGCTGGTGCTTTGTTATTGGGGTGGGATCACATTTTGGTCAACTTTATGTGTCGGCCATATTCCTATAAGGAAAATAGCCCCAGAGAACCCCAGAGAGTGGTACATGCGCATCATGAGAAGGGGTGTGAGGGGTATAGGGGACAAGCCATAAGGAAAGACTATTCTGGGATGTTTGACAAAATATTTAAATGAGAGGAAATAATGGGGACAACTGAGATAACAGCAGGTGGAAACATAAGGACTGCAGATGCAGGTGGAGAAGGGGAGAGCCAGGTGTGAAGGATGCTCAGTCCATCTGCACGTCACTAAAATGGACAGGGTGACAATTAAAAAAAAAAAGAATGATGCACAGTAGTAAGAGAGAAAAGGAGAGACCTACGTAGGTGTAGGCTGCGTTCTTTATTCCAAGTGGAGAACTTGGATTGCTTAAATATAATTTACAGTTACAATTAACTTCAGCAACCCCTGGGTTATACCACGACAGCTGTTTAACGGTGCATCAGTAAGGCACACAACACATTTGAGCAACCAGTAAAGGATGCCTTTGAAACTGTGCATGCAATCTGGTGTGTGAAACAAGAATCCTTTGAGGATTGGCCACGTCGTCTGTTTTTAAATCCCACTTGCTTCTCCACCTCGTCGAGATCTATTCTTAGTGACTAAGCGAGGTGAGATGCGCGCATGCATTTTTCTAAGCAAGGATTTTATCTTACTATGCAACTAAAGATCACCAGCAAAACCTTGGGGTGAGTTAGAATGTATGGCAACATTCTTTTAGGGTCATGAACTGTACATTTTCATTTGTCAAATAAAACTTTCAGACTGCTGTTGACACAAAGACCTGTCATGTAATTTAAGGCTGTCAACGTGAGACAGATGGCACCAACACTAGTGATGGATTATTAATTGGTATGAGATCATTTATTTTACAACCAGTGTTGCATTTTTAGTTCTTTCCTTAAACACAGATTGCCACATTATCAGGTTTTGGTTAAAAAAATTTCCACAATTAATTACAATCATGTAGATTAGAACACCCTATATTATAAGACTGGAATACGTATTTCTGAATTCATGTTTCTATCAGTTCATCAGTTTAACAGCAATGCTTGTTGTTGTTGTTTTCCTCCTTCTTTATAAATAGAGGGTGACCTTTAAAATCTTATTATTCAAATAGTCCAGCATGTGGGAGGTTTGAACAATGAAATGTTCAAATAATCAAGTACACTGCTTAAATTATAAAATTGATGAGCAGTCTTTGCAGAAAGCATGGCATAAATTCATACAAATGGCATTCTAGATGACTGATGTTCGGGTAGTGTAAGATTACACTGCAGAACATAAGGAGAAGCATATTTTCGCCCCATACTAGCCTTTCTGGATATCAGTCATTTCAATCTAGTCAAAACCTTCCTCTTCCCATGGTTAAAAAATTGCTTCAGATTTCTTTAACCTGCATGCCAGGGCACATTAGAGAACTCAAAGAATGTGGTGGTTAATGAATAAAACATATAAAGTCCCTTGTGGGCACCTATCCAGGGTCTACATGAGTGTCTGGATCCCAATATTAAGAAGGTTATGAGCCACCATTTTATATTTACTACAGTTCCCCAGAGGCGCTATGCATAGCATTCTGGGGAATTATGGGAAATGTATGGTCATGTTTCCAAATATGCCCCAGGAGAATGATAGGTTTGGCACCTCTGTATTGGTCTAAACGCAAACTCTTGCCATCCAGTGTATGGCTGTAAGCAAACCAGCTCTTGAAATTCTCCACGTTATTTCTGGGCAGAGAAACTGGGAGGTCAGTTTATCTGAATTTCTTCTCAGTAAAGAGAAATTCTCCAAATATTTCTCAAAGTTGGGGATCACCATTAGCAGTAGTTGCAGCACAAGTTTATTCGTTCTTCTCAGGTTTTCGTTTTTTCCACTGCTAGTGCAAGCAGCAACAAAAATAACCCTGGCACATTTTTTTCTTTTCTTTTCCCACAACACTCTCTATGTTGAATCATTCTAGAGTACTGTGCTGGTTGGATAGCTCCATGAGTTAGGTAGAAGCTGGGAGTTCGATTCCCCACTGTGCCTCTTGGGAGAAAAGCCAACCTGTGTAGCCTTCAGGCAGGCTACACAGGTCCAGGGTGTCCTCAGCACATCTAGTGGTAAAGACTTCTGAGACTTTTAGTCCAAGAACCCCTGGGGGTCCAAGGTTGGGAACTGCTGCCATATAGAATCATAGAACAATGGAGTTGGAAGGGGCCTATAAGGCCATCGGGTCAAACCTCCTGCTATTTGCAAGCCTTTTTCTTCCCCTTTCTATGAATCCTTCCCTGTTGCCAGCTGCCTTTTTTCCCATTCCCTCCACACTATAAGCTGTGTTCTCCCCCCCCCATCGCCTCACTGCTTCAGAAGGGGCCTATAAGGCCATCGGTTCCAACCTCCTGCTATTTGCAAGCCTTGTTCTTCCCCTTTCTATGAATCCTTCCCTATTGCCAGCTGCCTTCTTTCCCATTCCCTCCACACTACAAGCTGTGTTCTCCCCCCCCATCGCCTCACTGCTGCAAATCCCATTATTTCCTTCTCCTATAATTCCCTGCACGTCCCGTTGTCTGCCAGTAACTTCAGCCCTGCCATTGCCATTTTCCAAGGCCTGTTCTTCCCCCTCAATTTCCCATCATTGCCTCACTGCCACAGCCCTTCTTCCAGCCCTGGTCTTCTGTTTTCCTCTCCTTGACTGCTGGGTTTTATTTTTTAATGCCAGAAAACTGAAATGAAAACATCCCAAAATATTTTATTGTTTTTCTAAAGCCCTGGGACATGCAAGACCTTCAAAATGAAACAGCCTCCCCCCCAAAGAACCTGAAATGAAAGCAAAATGAAAGCCCTCACCCCACCGGCATCGTTAGGGGTCATTGTAAATGACTTTGTAAATGTAAATACATTTTTTCTTTACTCCAGAACATGATTTTAATACAGCTTCTTTTTTTGTAAGCTCTCTGACAGGTATGAGAGAGGGTTATGTTGCTGTTTCAGCTTCAGAAAAAGCTGCTGCTGTGCCATAATTTATCCTCACTTTTTCTCAAAAATTTAATTTCGCCATGAAAGAGGCTTCAGATTTTTTTCTGTCACCTTCTCAGAACTCTTTACATTTTATTTTGGTGATTTTTAATTTTTTTAAAATATATATTATGTTGCTTAACATAACATTGCAAGGTCGCTGAGGATACTGATTTTTATTTCTTCTTCCTTTCCATTCCATATGTGTTCACTATCCTTTCCTTCCCTCACTGCCCACTCTCCTGATCTGAAAACAATAGTGGGAGAAATTACCTTTTGGTGCTTTTTCCTGCGCTTTGACAAAAGTGTGAAAACAGAGGGAGGCTGCTGTCTGTTGTAGAGACAGGACTTTTACATACTACCTCGGCCACTTCCTACCTAAGGTAAGCACAACAATCCAGAACCTCACCCATGAGAATTTCTCCAAA